CATTTGGCGGTTTGGGTTCACGGCATGGACTCGGGAGTGGCTTCAGGTAAGTTGGAGTGTGTATATATCTGAAAACTCACACAATTTGAGGTTGACTTTGGCTTAAATAATAGAAGGATGAAAATAATAGAAGGATGAGAAGGGATTAGAATTCACAGGCGATTTAAAAAAAAAAGAAAAAATGGGTTACATGCATATGCCTATTTTTACAACTGCCTGCCTTAGGGTAAGAACATAGTGGAGCGGCGAGCAAAGAGCATCGATCAAAGCGTCGATTTCAAACGCGTACGTTTCAATGGGAAAGCGGATAGTGAAGAGCAAAGCGTACATACACGTTTGTAATTGGAGCTTTGCTCGATGCTAGCTCTTCGCTTTGTTCGCCGCTCCACTATGTTTTGAACCTTATACGCCGATGCGGCCGAGATAAGTCGATCTTCCACTCAGCAGTCGATATATAATACCGACGACTAAACTTTGCATAAATCAGTGATTGGACTAAGTTTGATCGACAATCTGATCTAAAGGTAGGCCCAGGTAATAAACAGTTTTGCCAAGGTCGGACAACAGACATAGGATTTTTGGAGGAGTTGGTTTGAGTGAGAATACAGGACATCTTCACGTATTGGAGCTAAACATGCAAGGCAACTCGACCTATCCGATTATGGCATTCACGAGGCGTTGGTTTGAGAAGGTGTTAACTGACTTTAAGGTTCACGAGATGGCTTCTCACATGTGGCGAAGGATGTTCGGCTTCAAGCAAGTGCTTGCAGACTAGCCCCTAAACTAGCACCCCATCAGGAACTTCTTGCTCCACATAAAACTATGCACCGTAATTGGTAGTGTTTGGGATTCGCTGGGTAAGTCTAACTAAGGCGAAGGTATCCCATAGCACGCTAAAGAGCGCTCTACTAGTCACCGCCTAACACTAAGCACAGCACAGCGCAGTGGCGGTGAAAATCTAAGGTTTTCTTAAGCTCCTAACATACCTTAAGTGATCAGTCAATCGGGTCATACCTGGCTTCCGTTTTAATTCCCTCTACATAGTTTCTGATCAGACTACTTACTGTGCTACTGCAAGAAAACTGTCCAATTTGGCTGTTATGAGGCTGGCTAGCAAAGTGTTGAGGTTCCTATGGTTAGTTTAGTCTCAGATGGAACTAATTTATACTCAGGACTTTGCAATACCGCATGTTGGCTGCACTTTTCCACGTTCTGCTAAAAATAAATTGGTATTTAGTTAAAAGGTTTCTAATATCTTTTTACCGAAGATAATCTAGATCAATGATAGGCACGATTGCGTTCATGCTGTAGGAACCAGCAAGTACTTTTGGTACAGTGGAATTTTTTCTCAGACATTTTTTAGCCGCTTGGTAGCCATTGAAAATATTAGGAGGTGCCTTGATAAGGAATAGCATCCGAGTCATGCGGCAAAGGAAAGCTTTCCCAGAGACTTTATTCTGGCTTTATAGAGGACAGTACGGACACAGATAATCGGCTCAACTCTTTTTACCGCTTACAGCGAGTCATGGCGACGGCAGGCACCTATGTGGTGCAGTAACATTTTAGTCGCGTGAGTGCTTGAGGTCAAGCGTCCTGTGAAAACCGTAGTAAAGCTAAATAAGTCCTTTCTGTTTAGTTTAGTTTCAATTGGAATCCGTTTTAAGCAATCGGAGGTTATATAACGGGTGATTTTTTAAGAGCTTGATACCTTTTTTTTAAAAAAAAACGCATAAAATTTGCAAAATCTCATCGGTTCTTTATTTGAAACGTTAGATTNCGAACCGAACACTGATTTTGGTAATAAAATTCAATGATTTGCAAGCGTTGCTCGTTAGTAAGTCTATTCATGATGAAATGTCAAAGCATACTGAGCATCTTTCTCTTTGACACCATGTCTGAAATCCCACGTGATCTGTCAAATACTAATGCATGAAAATCCTAACCTCAAAAAAATCACCCGTTACTTATTTCTGCAGACCTAGATTTAAAAGTTCTTCCGTCTTCGATTCGCCATTGCTAATTCAATACAACACCCCGGCACCCAAATCAACGCAAGGCTGCTGAGAGAAGCCGTAACATTTTCTTAATATTGTCTTAGTATGATTGTTATTGGGCCGAATGCCCAAGCTTCTGCCTGTCTGCGAAGTTTGTTCTCGGTCGATCTGTAGTCATTACCATGTATTTCTCCTTATATGTTGAGTTCGAAAGCTCGCTTGATATTTCCATTAGAAGGGCACTTCGAAAAGATTAGCGCTCTCATATAGCAAACCATTTTTGACCCATCCGTAAAAATAGAATTTCCGAAGCATTCGGCAATTTATTATATTTATAGTTCATTATAAAACCTTTTCAGAGTCTTTTCGCCAACAGGCCCATCGACCTTAATCAACATTCAGCGGCATCCCTTGCACTCGATGTTAAGCCTTTAAGGACCATAAACCTATTTAAAAATACTTATGATGTGAATTGTAAATTGCGATGTTAAAAAAACATAATGCTAATTAAAAGTTGTCATTCATATTTTTCCTTAAAAAAAATTTTATATTTTTTATCCCAATAATATCTAGATAAAAATTATACAATTTTAGAATCTTTCCCTCAAACAAAAAAATCCCAAAAAATATTTTTGTTTTTAATTTTGGTAAAAAATATATGTTTTGCTAAAATATTATGTTCTTCCAAAATCCAAAAAAAATTATTGTTTGTCAATAAATATTTTTTTCTCAAAAAAAATATATATTTTTTTATCGTCTCATCAATAATAAATTGAATTAAAAAAATAGTACTGTTAAAATTAAATTCAATGAAATGTCTGGTAAATTTTTTAAAATTTTTAGTGAAATATTTATTCTCAAGGAATCGTTGTTTCAAATAAATGATAAGTTTTTCTTAAAAAAAATTTTTCTTAAAATCCTAGGGGATATCGGCGCTAAGTATTCATACTGTGTTTGGTTAACTCATGTCCAGGTTTGAACAAAGGTACATCCTTTCTTTTGTCCCCAAAAAGCTCCCAATTTAACTAATTTGCCAAAGTCAACCTTATAATTGAATCCTAGTTTACTTGTAATGAATGTTAAAAAAATAAAGCTCAGACCTTCGTTCAGGTCGCATTCGTTCAATGTGCATACACCCTTCAAAAAGGAGAAACAACAAGATCCGCCCGTTGAACATGATCTCTACGTAACATTGGAGGAAATCTATCATGGTTGTGTGAAAAAGATGAAAATATCAAGGCGAGTCGTACAGCCGGATGGATCGTCAAAGAAAGAAGATAAATATGTTAGCATATCGATTAAGCCCGGCTGGAAATCCGGTACGAAGGTGACATTTCAAAAAGAAGGCGATCAAGCACCCGGCAAGATACCAGCGGATATTGTTTTCATCATAAGGGATAAGCCACATGCGATGTTCAAGCGAGAAGGCAGCGATTTGCGGTACACGGCGCGCTTAACGCTCAAGCAGGTGAGTGAAAGAAACGATATTAAAAAAAAAATGTATAATATGTATATATATATGAGGTTTATATATTGAAACAAGTTGAGATGCTCTAGTTAATTTTTTGTTATATTCTTCNGCGCTTAACGCTCAAGCAGGTGAGTGAAAGAAACGATATTAAAAAAAAAAATGTATAATATGTATATATGAGGTTTATATATTGAAACAAGTTGAGATGCTCTAGTTAATTTTTTGTTATTTTCTTAAAAAAAAGTATTCGCTTCACTTATCAAATTCGAATTTGTAGCAACATTTTTTCACGCACTCCCGCCATGTGCCTTTAACAAATAAAATAAATCAAGATTGTATCACGTTTCCAAAGAATAAACCAAAAATAGGCGGCATTTTATACTCAATTTAATATCAAAAAAAAGAGCAAAAAAAAAATTAATTAACAAATTAAATTGGCAAACCGCTTCGTGGCATTTTCTCACAGCATGAAATAACACACTTTAAATTGTGAGTAAGTTGAATGAATGCAACTTATGTAGATACACCTAAATGAAATGATTGTGATTGTAATGCAATAATGCAGTAAAAAATTTAGAGTTATATTTATAAAAAAAATTGAAGAAAAAATCTCTACACAAATATGGCAATTTACCATTTTTGTCTAACTAATCGCTGGCAATTGACAGTTTTTGTGTGCAATATCAGTTTTTCTGCTTATACTATGTAGTACATAGTCACACTTGACTTTTTTGTATTATTACATACATACATATATATGTACATATGTAAAAAAAAAAAACAAAACAAAAACCCCCTATGCAAGCAAAACCACAAAACAAAGAAAAAATTAAAATTTACTAAAAATGTGTTTAAAAATTTTCTGCTGGCTGATTAAAATAATTCGGTTAGTTTTTCTCAGCAGTTGGTCTGAAATTAAGGAATAACGTGACACTCTGGTTAACTATCGGAACCGCGGGGGATATTATTATTTTATATATCAATTACACATACATACATACATTTAATGCAAAAAAATACCAACAAAGGCTTAAAAATGCATGGAAACAGAAAATTAGAATATTTAGTGCATTGCAAGCTGAGCGTCTAGCGAGCCTAAAATTCTCGAAAGTTTCGATTTCATTTTTAATCAGTGAAGTTTGTTTGTTTGTAAATATATTTTGTAATTTTTTCCCCGATTTGTCATTGGGACCTTAGATACGAAAAAAATATAAAAAGAACATCGTTAGGTTTCGTGGATCCTGGAATATGTCCTGTTGCTATATGGCAACTCCACGGGAGGCAATAAATATATTGAAAATTCATCGGGTTTTTCGGCAGAATAAAGATTTGAAAAGCTATTTTAATGATGACAAATTAAAGTTTTCTTCCACTTTCATTTGAGACGATTATGGGCAGGTCCGATGCTAGCTTTAAAATAGGTCGCCACCTTATGCTGTTTATCAGACCCACGCTAGTTATTATTAGGAGTCCATCACAGTTCAGTTGTTCAGGCCTCGTAGGCGGATGGTGTTGCAAGGTTTGAGCACCATGGCGCCACAAAGCTTATGGCCCACTCCCTGATCAGGTTCTTAGATGGCTAAAGTGTAGTTCGAATGACGTCGTCCCTGGAAAACGCAGCAGAAATAGGGTTCTTGTCCGGGGTGGAACTCAATGCCTGCCTGGAGCTGAAGAATGCGGAGGCATATCAGCTGACATTTGGACTAAGGATGAGTGAATTGTCCGCTTGAACGTGCAACCAAAAAAGGCCAGTTTGGGTCCGTACACCAACAAGGTCTTGACCACAGTACCTTACAAAGACAATGTACAAAATTGGCAAAATTGCATGAATTAAGTTACTAATTGTTACCTGATTCGCAATATTCCCCAGCTTTAGCCTACTACAACTGTTTGCTGTTTTCAAACCTAGAGAAGTCACCGGGAACTCAGAGATCAAAGGAAATCGAATAAAAGGCTGGATTAAATCTTTAAATAACATTTTTTCCGGTCAGCTGACTTGTCCAAAAAGGGAGCCTATTTATTTTCACAACAAAATAAAAGACGAAGCTGGGCTAATGGTGGATTATCATTCCTCCACAGAATACTATCCCCTGACATTTCAGTTATTGCCAGTGGCAAAATTGTGTTTAAACACGAAGGACGATAAATATGTGTGTATTTAGCATCTGCCTGTTGGAATTTCGATCAGTAGGATTTCCGGACGAAAAAGAATCACTCCGTTTCTACACCGATGATTCTGAACCAGTGGGAAAGATATGAGGGGGGCGGGGGTATACTCAACCCGACTGGGGCTGGAAAAATCATTTCGCCTACCCGACTATTGCAGCGTCTTTCCTGCTGAGGGCGCTGCCACACAGAAGGCGATTAAATACTTACGCAGAGGAGAAGCAATCTGGTTGCACTTAAAGCGCTTGACTCGATAACATGCAGTTCAAGAACTGTAGCCGGCTGCCGCAGATATCTGCATGAGATGGCTGAGTAGTACGCTCTTCACCTGGTATGGGTCAAAACCATACCAGGCAATGAAAAGGCGGACGAACTAGCAGGAGAAGGGGCATCTGTTCTACTTTCGCAATCCTGGAAGGATTTAGGTATGCCATTCGCTACCTGTAAGCTCATTCTAAGGGATGTATCTCTTAAACAAGCAAGGGACAGCGGACAGGTTGCAGATAGTCTCACAACTTGCAGGAATACAAAGCTTTTGTGGGCAAAAAAGAACGAGAAGCGGTCGAAAGGTTTCTTCATGCTGTGCCATGTTGCCATTGGATGGCACGCGGGAGGCTAGGGGTTCCCACAGCGACTTATGCAGAAGCTGCAGAGACGCAGAAGTGACACTATGGAAAAGAAGACGAAATCTCAAGGGTTCAGAATTCTTCGAAGGTTTAACCAACATAGCCGGAGTAGGAATACGGCAACTTTTGAGTTTCGCAGACTCCAAACGATGGCTTGAGTAGGAGGATTCCTGCGTGGTATCACAACGGGCCCAAAATCTTAGGGGCCTAAGTGTGCTACTGGAATCACTGGCAGTCACCCAACCTAACCTAACCTAGTGCCTGTCCCTCAAAGTTCGTTTGGGGTATTGTGAATGACAGGTGTATAAGTTCTTCGAAATAAATAGTAGTGTTCAGAGAAACTAGGAACAGCCTTCTCTTCGTTGGCGTTGAAAAATTGCGGATGCATCCATATGTGTGCAAGACAGCAATACCCTCCAGTACTGTTGAACCGCTACTGCACCGACTTCTAGATAAGTAGCTACTCTATTAACCCGTGATAGTGCACATGGTAGTGCAGAGTCGAACCAGTCGTAAGCAGGATAGCGAAAAACTACGACAGAGGGCGTCCATAACTCACGCAAGTGACTACTTTAGTAACTCTCGGTAGTGCAGAGAGAGCCGATGGTGACTACCGCCTAGGACATTGCCTTGTAAAAGTAATCGCTGAAATACACTGCAAGTAGGTGGTCGGTAATTAAAGGAGTTTATTAGGTAGCTAATCATCGATTCATCAGTCCTGTAGTCCCTCCCCTGTACTGCAGGGTACATACATATGTATGTATGTACATATGTATATATATGTATATGTACTAAAGTGTACTTCAACTATTTGTAAAGTCGAGGAATTTTATAATAAATTCACTTGTTCCAAACTAAATATCATAAACATATCTTTCTTGTTAAGTACTCGTATTGGCTTAATTATTTAACGCAATTTATGTAGTTTAGTTCTGCTTAAACATTTATTTGTGCAAAGCCTCTCTGTGTGTTGGTCCATATACATATGTATGTATGTATATGTATTTGATTTTCTGCCCGATCGTTGTACTACCACCATTGACCATTAGAGTCACGTTTAGTTGGTTGTCATGTCAAAATTGTTAATTCGATTAACTAAAGTTGACAAGTGCATTAAATTACACTAACAGCAAAGAAAAATAACACAATAAGAACAACAATAAAAAGCAGCAAAAAAATCATCAACAAACGTATTAGTTTTGGTTTGGCATTTTGTGGTTGTTTGAGTGGTCGAGTGACGGCCGAAAATGTTTGTTAACTAAATGGACAGACAGACGACTGCAATTGCACACATATTTACAATAAAAAAATATCTATGTAGTGTATGCTCGAGTACAAGCTGAAGAGCCAAGTTGTTGTTAATTGCCGCGACAAGCCGATAGGACATCGCACAGTGGTTCAAAACTGGAATTTAATGTTAATAATTCACTGGAGTCCAAATTTTTCAACAAATTTCATTAATTTATTTATTTTAATGAAAGCTTATAAAATTAGCAAGAGACCCATTGAGCCCGATTTTTGAATTTTCATTTACTTGTATTTGATTTTTTAGTGCAAAATGCAGAAAAAGTAGTAATTTTGAAGAAAATCGATTATTTTGTTCTAGTTAATAAATGTTTCATAATGAAAACTAGTTGAAAACAATTGCAGGCTCTCATAAAAACGAAAAATAATTGAATAAAAAAATTTTCAGCAAAATAATTTTTTGTTAGTACTTAGAAAAATTTTTGGTATGCCATTTTATAGGTCATGAAATTTTACTGCAAGTTTCAAGTGGCTAAAATTTAACTATCTATATAACTGCATACCCAACATTTTTCTAAAAACTAAAAAAAAAAAATTCATTTTGGTGAATGTTATTTTAACATTTCAAATTTTTCTTGTGAATTATTTTTGTTTTCGCTTTTTAGGGTTCCTACCATTGTTATCAAATACTTTTTATTATGTAGCATTTATTAACTGGAAGAGGATAATCGTTTCTTCAAAATTGCTGCTTTTTCCGTACTAATACAAGTAAATGAGAATTCAAAAGTCCGACTCAATTGGTCCCTTGCTAATTTTATAAGCTTTCATTAAAAATATAATCAAATTGGTTGAAAAGTTAAGGTTCTATTGAATTATGGACATTAAATTCCAGTTTTGAACCACTGTGCATCGGTAGGCAGGCAGCGAATAAATCAAAGTGGTGGTAGGGGGGCAAACGAC